TCAACGCCGGAATCCGGAAAAAAAAATCCGGAAGGAAAAAATAAAAAAAAAATATAAAAAAAAAATAAAAAAATTAAAAAGTCAACGCCGGAGACCGGCGTTGACCGCCGGTCAACGCCGGAATCCGGCGGGAAAAAAAAGTTTTTGAAAAAAAAAAAATTTGTGAAAAAAAAAAAGTTTTGGGTCAAAATTGAATAATTTGTGAAAGTTGGGGTCAAATTGAAGTTAAAGTAAGTTAAGGATGAAATTGGAGCATATTAAAGTAAGAGGGGTTATTTTAGTCCTTTACATAAATCTGGACCATGTGTGGACTTATTGGTAAAGGAGAATATTGTCTGGATCTCTTTATGAATAAGTTCTCACTGATGGGCTTATTTGTAATATGCCCTAAATTATATTATTATAAAATAAATTATATTCAATAGTAAATGGATTTAAATTTTCTAAAAGTTATGAAAGGCATTATAGACATTTCAGATAATTTTATTATTTGTTGTTTTCCAAATTTGAAATCACAATTAATTTGGGCAGTGCCGTGCGTAGGTGTTTAAATAAGTTGAGATGACTAGTGAGTCCGACAACCTACCTCGAGCTATCCCAAGAGAGCGGCTGCGAGTCCACTTATAGTTATTCTTGAGCTTACGAGCCGGCTCGCGACTTTTTATTTGTTAATTTTTTTTTTATGTAAATATATGCGTAATTCATAAAAGAAAATATAAAAATAATATTAACTAAATACATACTAAAATTATAAATTAATAAACGATTAGTTTTTTAGATATACTTTGCTCCAACATGTAAAATAATTAATGTATTTTGATTGTTTCAACTTTGAACAGGTACTACCATTAAATATTCAAATCAAGCCAAAATTAATCAATTCAAAGTTCTTCTACCGCTTGAGAATGTAGAACTAAATATTCTTAAATTAGCTAATAGCCACGTCAGCCACCTGGGCTCATGAGTACTGAGTCTACGGTCTACGGATAATTTTTTATTTTTTATTTTTTTTATTTTATTTTTTTGCCCTTTTTCTGAGAAGTTCTCTTTCTAATATATGAGCTTAAATTCGGAGCTCGAAGAATTGTTTGACTTGATCTATCAATTTGATTTTTTTTTAAATTGCATTGTTAAATGCCTAATACCCTAATAATTAGTTAAATCCTCCATACGTCAAGGAGATATACGAATGACATTTATTTAGATACTACATTTGGTTTTTACCGGGATGAGTGTTAATCGTAAATCTACACAAAGTCAGACACACACACATGTGTATGTATATTCACTAAATAGTTATTTAACCCCAAATGGTTTAATAATCACATGATGTAAATAATCATGTGTAACATCTAACTCCCCACGCATGTTTCCATATATCAAAATGAACCATCCATCATAATTTAAATGCTTGTTCTGATTATTTACTATGTTTGAAAAAAGTAATAAAAATAATATAAAATCATGAATATATATATATATCTCCTTGTTTTTATTTAATTTATCGCTCTATTTATTTTTCTTTCAAATATTCCTTTTTACCTTATTTCTTAATTCTGCCGACTTCCAAATTGCATTTCCAATTTCCAACGATTTTGGTTCGATTTTTTTTCAAAATTATTCGTGTGATCCAATTTTTAAAATTTCAATTTACGATTTGTATTTATAAAAAAATGGATCAAAATCAAATGTATATACGATAATTAAATGTACATTATGATTTTTTAAATATCCTATTGTAGCATCTAACTTCCCTCAAATCAAAGGATGTAGAGTGAAAAAGAAATAGAGAGGCTATAAAATATCCACATGTGAACTATTGGGGTGGAATCCGATTAAAACGGGTCATCCGTTTATAATTTAATCTCAGATCCATTGGTCATAATGAAAATTGTTTGACCAATAATTAACACAATTGTTTAACACTTGTTGTTAATTAAAAAACAACAGTACTTATAACTTCTTAATTATAAAATAGCAATAAGTTGGAGCTTCGAGCTTATAAATAGATCACTTCCTCCACAACCAAAAACCACACAAGAACAAAAGTTCATTCTTTTCTCAATATATTTCACATAGACTAATCTCTTTTCTTCCATTAATTACTTCTTAATCCCCAAAAAAAAAAAAAAAAGAGGGGAAAAAAAGAAAAAAAGAAGAAATGGAAAACCATGAAAAGTTAGGTAGGTTTTCGAGTTGCAGAGGTGTGGCTTTCGAAATAAAACCCCATGCAGACTTATTCGCCATTCCTTCTGCACCGATCATTAATAGCAACAGCAGATCAATTAGGTCAACTTGGCTTCCATGGGGAAGCTTCTCTAGGGTTGCTCATGCATCTTCCCAACTATCCCTGCATCGTTCCGTGAGCCGAACCAGCAGCCATTTCTGCGACGTTGATGAAGACGAAGACGATGAAGAAGATGCCGAAACTCTCGCCGACATTGAAGAAGGCCATGAGTTAGCCGATCAAGAGAAAGTGGCGGCGGCGGCGGCGGCGGCGGAGGTTTCTTCTTTGCCGCCGCGGCCACTTCCTCGGAAAGAGCCATCTTCATCGTCGAGACTGTCTGTGATACTCCTCGACCAGGGGTTGTTCACTGTTTACAAGCGGCTCTTTGTCGTCTGCTTGGTTCTGAATATAACTGGCGTTGTTCTTGCGGCTACTGATGAGTTCTCGTACGCTAGAAACCGCCCCGCGTTGTTCTCGATTGCCAACATCTTCGCTCTGGTTTTATGCCGGAGCGAGGCGTTTCTGAGGATCGTGTTCTGGGCGGCGGTTAAGGTTCTCGGGAGGTGGTGGGTTCCTCTGCGTGTGAAAACTGCAACGACGTCGTTTCTTCAGTGTCTCGGCGGGGTCCACAGCGGCTGCGGCGTTTCGTCGGTTGCATGGCTGGTTTACGCGTTGGTTCTAACCCTCAAAGACAGGGAGAACACTTCGCCGGAGATCGTCGCCGTCGCTTCCGCAATTCTCGGCCTTCTTGGCTTCTCCTGTCTGGCGGCTTTCCCACTAATCCGCCACCTCCACCACAACGTTTTCGAGCGAACCCACAGATTCGCCGGTTGGACCGCTCTGGCGCTATTATGGGTTTTCGTCACGCTAACTATTTCCTTTGACCCGGTGACGAAATCCTACGTCAGCGACGACTTTTGGTCAGGGCTGACCAAAACGCAGGAGTTCTGGTTCACAGTTGGAATCACTGTTCTAATCATTACTCCATGGTTGACCGTGAGAAGGGTCCCTGTACGGATGTCGTCTCCGTCGGGCCACGCCTCCATCATCAAATTCGACGGCGGCGTTAAAGCCGGAATCCTGGGCAGAATCAGCCCGTCCCCGTTTTCCGAGTGGCACGCATTCGGAATCATCTCCGACGATAAGAAAGAGCACATGATGCTCGCCGGAGCAGTCGGTGACTTCACAAAATCCCTCGTCGCGAACCCGCCGACCCACCTGTGGGTCCGGCAGGTGCACTTCGCCGGGTTGCCGTATCTAACGAACATGTACGGTAAGGTTCTTTTGGTGGCCACAGGGTCTGGGATCTGCGTCTTCCTTTCGTTTCTCCTGCAGCCATGCAAGGCTGACGTGTGCTTGCTCTGGGTGACGAAAGGTGTCGAGCAGAATTTCGGACGGGAGATTAAGGAGTGGATGACTGGGCACCCGGAGCAGAAGGTTATTGTTCACGACACCGCCGTACTTGGCCGGCCAAATGTGTCGGAGATGACGGTTGAGACGGCGAAGAAATTTGGGGCGGAGGTGGTGATTGTGACGAGTAATCCACAGGGAAGCAAAGACGTGGTCAATGCATGCAAAGCTTCTGGGATTGCTGCTTTTGGCCCTATTTGGGATTCTTGATTTTTTTTTTTTTTTTCCATATTTAATTTCTTGTATGTTTGTAATTAACTTATTAATAAATAATAATCATGATTATATTTCCTCTTTTACTATATCATGTAATCATAATTATGTACCTTTAATTTGTGTGTTAATTTCTCATATGATTATATAATAAAGATTTTGTTATATATCACTGTATGTCAATGTCTCTGGTATCGTTTGCAAACTATTATACGAGAGTGATGCACTTATATAGTTGGTTGATTCATGGAATTATAAAATAACTTTTTAACTATGATACAAAATTCATCTTTGTACCCGCATCCGTTATTCATTTAATCAATTAAAGAGAGGTAATTATAATTTTTTTTTGGTAATGAATGAATCCGCAATCAATTATATGTAAGTAATATGTTTTATTTAAATATGAAACATATTAAGTTAAATTGGAATTGATAAGAGTACAATTAACATATATAATGTGTCTCAATCAAATCAAATGAATTAGTTTTAATTATTAAAATATACGGTGGATTTTTGTCACTATTTCAAATCCCAACTTTTGCTTACTTGAATACCAAAAAAATAAAAAATAAATAATTAATTGTAAATTACTTTAATACCCTTAATGAAATTAAAACTAAAAAAATATTACAAATACTATTTTTCTTTCTTAAATACCAAATAATCAAAAACTCAAAAAACCATTTCCCTCCTTCTCCACCTCCTTCTTCTCCCTCCCCAAAAACCCTTCTAAAAAATCTTCCTCACAACAAACCCTTCTAAAAAATCTCACAACAAACCCTTCTAAAAAATATCAAAACTAAAGAAATTAAAACCTCACAAAACGTATAAAATTGAGTTATAAGACAATAATATGGTAGTATATATGAAAGGAGAACACATTAAGGTAAGTATCGATGTCTTTTTTGAGCTTCGAAGTCGATTTTGAAGTTTTTTTTTTTTGAAACCCGTCGGCAATTTTCGACACATACAGGTCGATTTTTTGGTCAATTTTCGACACCAACGTGTCGAAAAAGAAAAAAAAAAAAAAAACCAAATTTCGACACCTACCTGTCGAAAAT